ACTATGAAGAGACATCATGACCATGGGGCTGGCTTATAGTTTCAGAGTCTTTGTCTATTATCATCATGGCAAGATATGGTGGCATGCAGAAAGACATGGTGCTGGAGAGGTAGCTGAGAGTTCTATATCTTGAGCTACAGGCAGAAGAAGGTGACTGCCACACAAGGCTTAATTTGAGCATGAAACCTCAAAACCTCCCTCCATAGTGACATACTTCCTCCAACAAAGCCACACCTACTGCAACAAGGCCATACCTCCTAATAGTGCCACTCCCTATGGGCCAAGCACTCAAACACATGAGTCTATGGGGGTCATTCCTATTCAAACCACCACATTCCACTCCCTGGCCCCCATAAGTTTGTAGTCATACCATAATGAAGAAATACATTCGGTCCAACTTTAAGTTTATAACAGTCTCAAAACTTTTTAAAATCCCAAACTTCAAAGTTTTTTAGATCATGCAATCTTTTAACTGTAATTCCTTCTAATATCAAAATAAAAAAGCAGCCGGGCGGTGGTGGCGCACGCCTTTAATCCCAGCACTTGGGAGGCAGAGCCAGGCGGATCTCTGTGAGTTCGAGGCCAGCCTGGGCTACCAAGTGAGTTCCAGGAAAGGCGCAAAGCTACACAGAGAAACTCTGTCTCAAAAAAAAAAAAAAAAACAAAAAAAAAAAAAAAACAAAAAGCAGATCACATACTTCTAACATTTAATGGCACAGGATATACATTACCATTCTAAAATGGAGGGAAGGGAGCATAGTAATGAAATACTGGACCAAAGCAAGACCAAAACCCACCTGGGCAAATTCTAAATTCTGCAACTCCATGTCTGATGTCAAAGTGCTCTTTAGATCTCCAACTCTTCAGTTCTGTTGACTGCAACACACTTCTCTCCTGGGCTGGTTCCACTCCCTGTTATCAGCCCTCCTTGGCAGGTATGCCATGGCTCTGGCATCTCCAACATCTTGGGGTCTCCAAGGCAATCCAAGCTTCACCTTCACATCTTCATGCCATCTAGGCTTCCATTCAGAGACACCCTGACTAATGCGTGGGCTCAGCAGTTTTCCTTGATTGAGGACAGAGATTCCATAACCCCTTTCTTCTATCCTTAACTCGAAAGCCACAATGACATGGCTGAAGCTGTTAAGTTCTGCTGCTTGATAGGGATAGAGCATGGCTCCCTCATTCAACTACATCTTCATTAGCTTTCTGTTTTCAATGGTTTTCTTTTCTGCCTAAACCTGACTATTCTGGAACTCTCTCTGTAGACCAGGCTGGCCTTGAATTTAGAAATCCACTACCCTCTGACTTCTGAGTGCTGGAATTAAAGACATGCACCACCACACCTTGCTCTAAGCTTTTCTTTAATTCCTTTTCACAAGTTGGAAGCTTAGCTGGGTGGTGTCTTATCCTGAGATCACCACTCCATTTATTCCTTTTAACATCTGGCTTTTCTTTAATCTGTTTATTTCCTTGAACATAGGACATAGCACCATTATGCTCCCTGGTACCCCTTTTTATTGTTGTTTGTTTTTTTACTCTTTTACTCTTTTGGGAGGCCTGCTACCCAGTTACCAAATAAATACACACATGGAGTCGTATTATTACTTAAGAATGCCCGGCCTTAGTTTGACATTTCTAGCCAGCTTTTCTTAATTTAAATTATCCTATCTACCTTTTGCCTCTGGGCTTTTTCCTTTTCTTACTTCTGTAATCTTACTTTCACTCTTACTCCGTGGCTGGCTGTGTAGCTGGGTGGCTGGCTACTTCTTTTCTTGCCCTTTCATCTCTCTTGCTTTTTCTCATTTCTATTTATTCTCTCTACCTGCCAGCACTGTCTATCTTTTCTCTGCCTAGCTATTGGCCATTCAGCTCTTTATTAGACCAGCCAGGTATTTAGGCAGGCACAGCAACACAGCTCCACAGCGTTAAACAAATGCAGCATAAAGAACACAACCCATCTTTGCATCATTAAAACAAATGTTCCACAGCATAAACAAATGTAACATATCTTAAAATAACATGCCACAACACCCTTTCTCCTCAATCTGTGCATTTTGCATTTTTATTTGTTCCTTTTTATTATAAATCTTTATAAGAGTGAACAGTAGTAACTACATGACAGAGTCTGTATTAGGCTGTTTTGAGATTTCCTTTGCCAATGCAATTAATCCAAAACTCTTTACTTTAGCCTCAGATAGACTTTTTGAACAAGGCAAAAAGCAGACACATTCTTAGCCAAAACATGACAAGAACAATCTCTAGGCCACATACTAAAAGTCTCCTCTGAAACTTCTTGAGCCTGTACCTCACAGTTCAACCTACCCTCGGCACCACTGTCTTCAATGCTCCTACTAGTACAGCTCATTATGCCCCCACTAAATCATTCCATTTCTTTCCTTATCCAAAGTTCCCAAATCCACATTTCTACAATCAAAAGCATGGTCAGACCTATCACGGCATTACCCCAGTCCTGGTCCAACTTCTGTCTTAGTTAGGGTTTCTATTGCTGCGAAGAGACACCATGACCATAGCAACTCTTAAAAGGAAAAACATTTAACTGGGGTTGGCTTACAGTTTCAGAGGTTTAGTCCATTCTGGTCATGGTGGGACAATAGTGGCATGCAGGCAGACACAGTTCTGGAAAAGAAGTTGAGAGTTCTACATCTTGATCCACAGTCAGCAGAAAGAAACTGCCACACTAGGCTTGGCTTGAGCATGAAATGTCCCCTCAAAGAGCACCTCTACAGTAACACACTTCCTCCAATAATGCTACATCACCTAATAGTGCCACTCTCTATGAGCCAAGCATTCAAACACATGAGTTTATGGGGGCCATTCCTATCAAACCACCACAGATATATATGGAGGTTTGCTACCAGATCCAAAAAGGGATTCAAATTATTCTCCTGAGGAGAATAAGGCTTAGAAGATTAAATAGATCACCCAACTAATATTAATTATGATATAAGTATTTAAGATAAGTATAATAATACTCCATGGATTTTAAAATAAAATCAAGCAATATAATCTTTCTTCAAACTATACACTGGCAGTTTGGTGCAAATCCAGGGAAGAATAAGGAAGTTTTGTGTGTTTTTTTCTTCCGCTGTTGTTCAGGCCCTCACTTGTTTTCCAGGTTTCACTTGATGACATAGTGTGCAGGAAACCTCTGGCTTTAAATCTTGTTCCTATTCCTGTATATTGACAGATTTCATAGATTTCCTGCAATGAGAATGAAATGACAACCTGTAATGATATAATTTGGTAAGGAGACTTGATCTACTTTGTTCCAATGTTAGGACATAAAGATCGACGTTTGGTTTTTATAAACTCAGAGGGCTCGTGAGAAAGATGCAACTTTGCATACTTTGGTCACATTAACCCAGGAACAGGGAGAATCACTAACCATCAGTAAATTCTGAATGTTTTCTCATTTCATGGAAGAATTTCCTCCTTTTAATTCAATGGATTCATTTTAGAAATCTCTCATTAAAATTACATTAAACCATCTGGGGTAGCTTCTACTTCATTTTAATATCCATAACCTTTTTATTTTCTTCATATTATCTGAGAGATTGTATAAATATTTTCTTTAAGTTCTCTTATGGAATTTTCCTTCTTTTGAGAAGCAAGTTTTTAACTTAAAATTACCTTTTCAACTTAAAATGAAAATTGTTCGTTTTTTGTTAATTAAATTATATTTTTGACTATTCACACACATATATAATACATTCTGGTTCCTTTCTGTTTTCTTCCCTTTTTTTATATCCCTCCCATTCCAATCATCCCACCCCCATACCTCTTCTCTCCACTACTCACTTACCTAGGCTCATGACTTTTGATCTTACCTTGTGACCCACTTAGTTTAACCAGGGCCACCAGTGGTAATATCCACTGAAGACTGTGGGGTCACCAGTGGATAGATACACGACTGAAGACAAGCCTTTCCACTTTCCCTAAATATCCCAGTAGGAAATATTTAAGCATTGCAGAGTGGGGAAGCCTGAGCCCCTCCTTCGCCCATGCTTGGCAGCTGATGGGCTAAAATGTTCATTCTTTCAAAAACGTTTCCTCAATATTTATGTTAAGAAAGCCGTATCTTTTTAAGTATATTTGGAAATGATAACTTGAAAGTCTCCAGTCATCGTCTGCTTCACTGATTGTCTCCTTCCTTCACCTTCAAAGCTGATTCTTCTGTTACATGTTTTCTAAGTCTCTTTCTTCACAAGTTCTTGTCACTGAAGGCTATGTCAATATTCTTGCTCTTTTTCATTTAACAGTTTATATTTTAATGCTATTTTTAAGGAGTCTCAAAAATATTAGAGATAAATAATTATGTTATGTTTGTTTCTTGAAACTGAAGTTGGCCAGCTCCTTTTCCTGGTCAGTTTTCCCAATTCAAACTATTTGGTTATATGAATTAAATACTTTAAGTATCATCTATAAATCTATTGGCTGTGTTATTATGGTTAGTTTCAATTATTTATTAAAATGCAGGTGTTCATAAGAAGTAATTTATCAATTCAGAAGATGGTTCTTCATCGCTTAGGTATATAGTAAGTATTGGGGATGTAAATTCCTGATTCTGGTGAAATCCTTGTGCAGTTAGTTTGCTTTCTTGGAATTGCCATTAGAATATTTCATATTTCAGTGTCAAATTCTTTGTACTCAATTTTTTCCACCCACATAAAATGGTTATGCAGTATCTGCCTGAAAAAGAATAGTAGAAAGTAGATAAAAACCACATCTATGCAGTCAAAGGCAAAGCTACAGTGCCTTGCTTAAAGGCATGCATATTCCTAATTATAATCAAGGAAAGAAGAAACTACTACCTAGGATTTTCCTTTTCTTTCCATGGTAATCAAAAGGCATCTTATAGAATAAATTTGAACGTCAATTAAGCTGTAGAAAATCAAAAAAACATTACAAATTAAAGGCTTCAAGAGAGCAGTATAGTGTAACCAGAGAAAAAATATGTTCTGGTTTATGTTTTTCAGGTACCATGAATCATTCATTAAATTGGAAGAAAACTGCAGTTGTGTTCATTAGTCTGTTTTTTATTTCATGTATCATCTTTGGAACCATTCTCTATATTAATTTCAAAAAGAAAAGGTAAGCTATATGATAACTTGATGTGACAGAGAAACTAGATACAATGGCACTAGCTATGAATATAATGTTTAAAAAATTCTAAGAGGTCTGGAAAAGTCCACCATGAAGAGATACCGAAGAAAAACTTGTTTCCATAGGCTTAGCAGTGTCTGACATCAAATAGTCAAGAAAGTAGAGACTGTTGGCAAACATTTCTGTTTATGGTGAGTTTAGTACAAGATTCTTTTTTATATAAAGAAAGTATTTGTTTATTTTTATTTTATGTTTACAGGTATTTTGCCTGTGTGCATCTGGTGCCCCTGGAAGCCAGAAGAGGTTGTTAAAACTTAAGTTACGAGCAATTATGAAACCTTTGTATGGGTGCTGGGAACTGAACCAGAGTCCTCTGAACAAGCAACAGAGGGGCTGGAGAGATGGCTCAGAGGTTAAGAGTGTTGGGTTCTCTTCCAGAGGTCCTGAGTTCAATTCCTCACAACCACCTGGTGGCTCACAACCATCTATAAGAGATCTGGTACCCTTTTCTGGCATGCAGGCATACATGCAGAGCACATAATAAATAGACAAATCTTTAAAAAAAATGCTCTTAACTGCTGAGCCATTTCTCTGGCCTAGTTTTAAGATTCTTTATTGATCCTGGGGCAGTGGTGGTGCATGTCTTTAATCCCTTCAGTCAGGGCTACACGGAGAAACTCTGTCTTAAAAAACTAAAAAGATTCTTTATTGAGAACAAATTTTCACATAATACAGCACAGAGCCCAGGACAATGGGTGGGGAGGAAGATGTGAAGACTGGAAGCTTGAGATATGTCCATCTGAGGCATAAGCTGAAAACAAGACCTTACAATATAGGATTAATATAGTAAAATTCCCACTCATTTGTTCAGCTCTCCTCATGGACAGTGATGCATGATGGAAGAATAAATGGAAATAAAGTTACTAGGCCGTGACAGTAGAAACCATAAATATAATTGGTGGCATGTGATTTGTATTGCTGTCATTATGTGTTCTTTAAATTTAACAATCTGTGGGGTTTTGTTCTGCACCATCTCAATACAGGGGAATGTGTAAACCAAAGAAGGGTGAGAATCTGATCTATAATCTAGAAGGCTCTCCCACTGGGAAGTGGAAGAGAAATCTCAGAAGACAAGAATGAAGGAGCATTTTGAAGAGATGGCTACAGCAGTCAGGAGACAGATGGGAACTGTCTAGACTGAAGAGGTAGAAAAGAGGAAGAGGGGTTAAGGTTATATTTGGGATGGGAAGGTTTCCTGAGCGACAGGTATGGAGAAAGAGTAAGAGGAAAGAATTACCTTACTCAAGGTAAGTGTTTTAGCATTAAAGAAAACTTTTACAAATATGCCAGGAATAGACAGAGAGCCAGCAAGCTTTGGAGGGAGGATTAAGAATTTTTTTTAAAGCCATTTTTAAATGCCTATTTTATACTTGAGGAAGAGTGTTAAATAAGTATCTACATGATGAATCTGAGCTTTGTGGAGCAGATGGTAAGTTTTTGGAAAATAGAGGATAGGATCTCCATGGAGACAGATTATGAACTATTGCACTTACTACATTAATGTAAAAACAATAGGCAAGTTATAGTAATTTGGCCAATTTCTCAAGAGAATTTGTGTATGAATCACTCAAACTCTAATTGATACCCTTGTCTTACTATGTACTGCCATGAGGGGGAGTGTTTACTCAGTTTATTTCTGTAACAGTGTCATGGTATCTCCAGGTCAGAGAACACACCTGAACCATCATCAACACAGATGCTTAACCCATTATCAACAGTGGTGCCCACACCGCCATCAACAGAGACTGAGAATTTAATGAGCCAACATCGTAAGGCAAAGATATAATTTGTAGTATCCGATTTCTTTCTGTTACTATACTCTTTAATTTTAGGAAGTAGCCTTACAAATTTGATCATGCATTGGCTAGCAGCAACTATCATTTTAGAAATAAGTGGTGACAAATGTGTGTTTCAACATACAATTCTATTCCCAAATCAGTAAATTCAAGGGAGGTTTTATTTTTGTTAATATCTTTACATTTTGAAATTAAATTAAATTTAACTGATACATAATAACTATAGATATTTTTGGAGTACCATGTAAATTTTGATCATGTCATACTTGTCTTTCTGTACCTGAATTTTTTTACTTGACGTGGATGAACCCCAAGTTCATCCATGTTGTTGCAAATGACAGAATTTCCTTTTTATGGCCAAATAATATTCACACAGGTGTGTGTATCACATTTTCCCCATTCATCAGTTCCACAAGATAGTTGCTTCATTTTTCATCTGTTATAAATAGTGCTACAGAGAATATGGAAGCCCAGACATCTCAACATTTTCAACATATTAATTTCTTTTCCTTTTAGATATGCATCCAGTAATGGGATAGCTTGATCATACAGTAGCATTGTTTTTAGCTTTTTGAGAAGCCTTCATACTGTTTTTCATAATGACCATAAAATTTACATTTCATTTTCAGTATGCAAAGATTCCTGTCTCCATATGCATACATCACTTTTCTTTGGTGTTCATGATAGTAACTCTTCTTATGGAGTAAGCAGTTATCTTCTAGTGGTTTTGATTTGCATTTCCCTGATGATTAGAGACATTAAGCATTTTTTTTTCACGTTAGCCATTTTGTATACTTCCTTGAGATGTGTCTGTTTAGGTGTATTGCCCATAAAACCAAGTAGTTTTTTTTTAAATTGAGTTCTTAAGTTCCTTATATGTCTTCAAATATCAAATCCCTTTCAGATGTGGAGTTTGCAAATATTGTATTCTTTTCAGGAGATAGTCACTTTCATGCTATTGTTGAATGTTTTCCTTGTTGACCAGAAATGTTTTAATATCATGGAATCCAGTTGTTTATTTTGGTTTTGTTGCCTGAGCTTTTGGAATCTTGTCTGAAATGTCCTTACTGACTCTACTTTCCTGAATATTTTTCCTGAGATCTGTTCTAGTGGTTTTATCATCATCTATTTATGAGATTTTATATTTGATATTTATATTTTAAAACCTATATATAAAAACCTACATATAATATAGATATATATTTATAAAATATTCATATATTATACATATAAGTATAATATATAAACCTACATATAATATAGGTCTTCAAATCCTACATTTGAGCCTTCCTTCTAGTTGTATTTGATTTTGCAACTTGTGTGAGAGAAGGCTCTACTTTCATCCTCTTGTACATGAGTTATCCAATTCCCCTAACAATATTTATTGAAAACACTGTCTTTTTCCAGTATGTATGTGTGTTCTTAGCACCTTGGCTGAAAATTAGTTCTCTGTAGATGTGTGGGTTTATTGAAGAGTCTCTATTCTGTTCTGTTGGTCTATGTGTCTGTGTCTTGCAAATAAATATCATGCTGTTTTGATTACCTGCAGCTTCATGGCATATTTTGAAGTTAGCAGGTCCAATGTCTTTAGGATTCTTTTGCTGGTTCCATGTAGAATGTCATAGAAATTTCATGAATTCTTTGGATCCCTTTGACTACTGCAGACCTTTGATGATTTGAATTCCTCCAATCTATGAATACAGGGTATCTTGTCAGTGTGTGTATCTTTTTTGATTTCTTTTTCTGATATTTTGTGACTTTTTTTTCACTGTGGAAAGCTTTAGGAAGGCTGGTGGCCTTTTCAGTATAGTTTTTTCACCTCATCTTTGTTATACATTTTTTTCAAGTCTCTGTTTTTTAGGAAAGGTCACATTTTTCTCTGTATATGAGTTTTGTAATTTTCACTGATCTAATACCTTGGTTCTTTTTATTTATTGACTGTCATGAATGGCTCCTTGTTTATACATAAAATCTTGGTGGCTGTTAGTGGCAAGAAACATTCCTTGGTAGTATAAAGTAGCTTGTGTTTGGAATGCTTGCTGGATTTATGTCAACTTGTCACAAACTAGAGCCACTGGAGAGAAAGGAACCTTAACTGAGAAAATACCTCAATAAGGTTGGGCCATAGGCAGGCCTGTAGGTTATTTTCTTTATTAGTGATTGATGGGCCCAGCCCATTGTGGGTGGTACCACCCCTACACACTAGTGAGTGGCCTTGGGTTCTATAAGAAAGCAGGTTGAGCATTCCATAGAAAGCAAGCCAGTAAGCAGCACCCTTCCATGGCCTCTGGATCAACTCCTGCCTCCAGGTTCCTGCTCTATTTGAGATCCTGTCCTGACTTCTTTTGATGATGAACAGTAATCCAAGGATAAGCCAAATAAACACTTTCTTCCCTAACTTGCTTTTGGTCATGGTGTTTCAATGAAGAAACAGAAACTCTAAGACAAGTTGATACCAGGATTGTAGGGTATTTCTGTGACAAACTTGACCATGTTGTTTTGGGAAGAATTGTGGAAGGACTTTGGAACATTGTGCAAGAAAAGCCATTGAGTGTTCATTCAGTGCTTGGTGAGTTGTTCTGTAGGAGAATGGAAGATAAGGATATTGGGGGCAATGCAAAAGATGGAGGCATGGCTTGTGAAATTTCAGGGGTGATTTTAAAGACTCTATTGTAGCTATTTGTTAATTTGAATTAAGATTCTGTGTTTCCAGTTAGCTGGGGCTGAGGAATCAGCTGTGATCAACAAGATACCAGAAATACTAAAGTAAAACCTACTTTGCTGGGGTAATTGAAGCTAGTTTGCTGGAGCTGAGAAATTGATGGTGATTAAGAGAAACCTGCATCAATGAGGAGAAATCTTCTGGAAAGTGCTGTGGGATGTTCTATATGGCAAATGTGTTGCTAATTAGTCAATAAATAAAACACTGATTGGCCATTGGCTAGGCAGGAAGTGTAGGCAGGACAAGGAGGAGAATAAAGCTGGGAAGTGGAAGGCTGAGTCACAGAGACACTGCCAGCCACCACGATGACAAACAGCATGTGAAGACTCTGGTAAGCCACAAGCCGCGTGGCAGGGTATAGATTTGTGGAAATGGATTAATTTAAGCTGGAAGAACAGTTAGCAAGAAGCCTGCCACGGCCATACAGTTTGTAAGCAATATAAGTCTCTGTGTTTACTTGGTCGGGTCTGAGCAGCTATGGGACTGGCGGGTGGCAGAGATTTGTCCTGACTGTGGGCCAGGCAGGAAATCTCAAGCTACAAATGGCGTCCAACGTGGTGGCAAGAGTTTCCACCTAAAAACTGAGAAAAGATTCTAAAACGGAGCTAAAAACAGTTCCTAATTGTCTCTCTCAAATGAGCGGCAGCTGCCGGTTTGAGCTATTTGTGGGTTCCTAGCATGTGCGCTCGACCTCCCTCATGGTGGGAATGAGGCCTCTGCAAGTGGCACATTAAGCTGCATGGTAGATTTAGCCTTTGCTAGTACAAAACAAAAAAAGAGGTTTCTGGGCTACACGCTGCTTGGCTAAAAGCATAGAGACCCATGATAGCTCCCAGAGCTGGCGGTAAACCACCGCCATGTTGGGAAGCTGAGGTGGGCGGAGCCAGCAGCCACAGCTGCTGCAGTTTAAAGTGATAGATTCACAATAAGACAGATTCAGATGTAATAGTTTATAACGTGTGTAAAAATGTACGTAGGCTTGAAAGAGAGAGAAAAAGGAATATATACAGTTATATAAAGAAATAAATAGTTTTTAAAAATAAAGTCTTTAAAGAGACAGTAAAGATAATATAAAAAATGAGCCATATAAAGATGGTTACCACACAGAGAATCTGGATTATGTTCTCTTTGATATTCATAACTGAAGAAAAACATTTGATTACAAAAGCTGTTAAGTTATGCCAAAATGTATATTTTAAAGGTACCTTGACTTCAAAATTTGGATGTAAGGATATGTTGCTTTGGAAAGGAGTCTCTGCTTTTGTTTCCACAGAAAGCCAGAGGCTATGGATTTGTTCCAGATTAAGATACATCAGGTTTGACCAGCCAAGACCCCCTGAAAGGTGACACCATGGCCCAGATGATCCAACATCCAGAATGGTTTGAAGACAACTGGCTCAGAAGATACACCCTCATGGACTATTCCATAATCCTAAAATTTTCTTTGTGTCCCCATAAGATACAGCGCCCCCCTCCAGCAGGAAGTAGTAAGAGAAGCTACGCCCAAATTCCCAAATTATATGTAATTTTACTTTGATAAGGTTAAAACCTTCCTTTTTGAAAAAAAAAAAAAGGGGGGGGGGGAAGTGCCGTGGGATGTTCTGTATGGCAAATGTGTTGCTAATTAGTCAATAAATAAAACACTGATTGGCCATTGGCTAGGTAGGAAGTGTAGGTGGGACAAGGAGGAGAATAAAGCTGGGAAGTGGAAGGCTGAGTCAGAGAGACACTGCCAGCTGCACGATGACAAACAGCATGTGAAGACTCTGGTAAGCCACAAGCCGCATGGCAGGGTATAGATTTGTGGAAATGGATTAATTTAAGCTGGAAGAACAGTTAGCAAGAAGCCTGCCACGGCCATACAGTTTGTAAGCAATATAAGTCTCTGTGTTTACTTGGTCGGGTCTGAGTGACTGTGGGACTGGCGGGTGGCAGAGATTTGTCCTGACTGTGGGCCAGGCAGGAAATCTCAAGCTACAGGGAAGGGTTTTATGTGAGTTAGCACACAGAAGTTGTGTTCCATAGGTGTCCAAAGTTGTACATGATGCTAGTAGCTGGACTTGGTAGTGTAAGAGTCACTCAGGTGGTACTGGTTTTGAATGAATGAAGAGATCATGGACTGCAGCTGAGGCTTGGCCCTGTGAGAGGCCAGGAGAAGACTTTGAAGATACAGAATTGAAGGGGTCATGGAGAGAAGTTGAGGCTTGTTACTATGAAGAGAGCCTATGAGAGGCTATTGGTGAAAGTGCAGCCCAATTTCAGCAGAGGACCCCATAATTTTG